GAAAACAAGATGTGTGAGGCAATTCCTCTGACATGGCTGCTCCAGCTCTTTTTTACTATGGCTCCACTCGTGTCATCTTTCACAAGAGTATCATTTTCACGACATAATCAAAGCCTAATTACCTCCCTCCAGTGTCCTCCAGGCCTCCGCCTCTCCCTCAAACCCTGTCCTTGTCCATGGGTTTGGCTTTTAGGAAACAAAACCCAGAAGGGCCTATGGACCCTCCTGCTTCCTATCTTGCCTGTGCTCCTCTGAGGCAATGAAACCAGAACCAGAACGGGGAGAGGGGGGTAGGGGAGAGAACAGAGAATGTTCATGGAGACAGAACAGAACTTCATGGTTCAGACGATCCTCCAGCCGCAATGCTCTGCACAGGGAGTTTCTCAACATTTAGGGTAGCAGATGTGGCTTCTCCCCTCCCACTGCCCCCTGGCCAGGCCTGGGGCTCAGGTTCCAGCTGCCCCTGTTTCACAATGTCTAGTGCTCCAAACTCATCTTCCTTCAGGGAAGGGACAATAATGTCACTAAAAGAATCAGTTCAAAGTAATCTGCTTTTCAGGAGTAACTGAAGTAGAATTATCTGACGGGTGGGGGTTCCAAAGTTCATCCAGAGTTTCTAAAGTTCACACAAAAGCCTCATGTCCAGAGCACAAACACTGTCAGGTGTTGAGAAGGCGTCTACTCCTTCTCCACATTTTTCCCCCAAATATTCCCAGATACCATGGATTATAATATAATATACTATGAACTAAAGTAAAATATTAAAAAAGGGTCAATTTCACTCACTCAAGTGAACGCGGCTTTTTCCTCCCTAGGTCGCAGCTGACCTATTTCAGGCGCCTTGGGGGCCAAGACCTCCTTCAGGCACTTGAATCGCTGGATATTTATGTGGGTTTTGATGCTGGAATAAGAATAAAGAGAGAGGCCCTTCAAAACCTCCCTCCTTTTGAGTTGCAGATTGTTTTCATTTCTGGTTCTAAGGACAGCCTGGTTGGTCTTTTATTAGCTGTGATCTAAACAGAAGGCCGCCTCGCTGTGGGTTAACAGCCCTGCAGAGGTGTCCCCAGCCCCTCTCAGGTGATGAAACTCCCAGTGACTCTGGCATTCCTCAGCGGGGAGCCTGAGGTCCCATGGACAAAGCCACTGACAGCGGGGTCTGCAGTCCGATGTCCCCGAGGGCTGCATCCAGGCCCCTAGATGGCCAGGAAGAACCCAGATGCCTGTGCGTGGGATGGCCAGGGCCTGCTGGGTTCAGAGTCAGTTCTCCACACATTTCCCACTTGGTGAGTGGACAGTTTTTGGTTCTACGGATTTTGTAGATCGCTGGAGGATTTCTGTGGCAAATGTTTAACACTGAGCAAGGTGGGCTTCTCTGAAACCTAGTCAGTTTTTGAGCTGTCTCTTCCTGCTTTCCACTGATGCGAGCTCAGGAAACAGGAATTGACTTCATCATAGGCAGAACTAATTGGAGAGGAAGTTTGTTACTGCAACATCCCAAGCCTCATTTCAAAGTCAAATCAAAATGATTTTTGTATTACTCACTGATTTGGATTACTTAGCTGTCCCAAGCTGGTGTTTTAGCAGTACTGTAACAGGGAGTAGGTTGTAGTAACTATCCTCATTGTTGGAACCGCTTAAATTTTCTCACCTATTTATTATCAACGTTCTTCATAATAATCTGGACGTTCCCAAATAAGGTGGGGAGAGGGGAATAAAACCATTATGGAGAAGGCTGGCAGAAATCACTGCACATTGCATTGTAGAATGGAATTTAATAGAGTACACACGTTTGTTTTCTCCAGTGGATGGTGGAGTTATAAAAAGCCCAGAGCCCAGGCTTGCCTAACACCATGGCCTTGTGATCATAGTGGTATTTGTTGAGCCATTCTTATGCCAGATTCTTTACGTACAATTAATCCTCACAGAAAACCAGAGAGAAGCATAATGATCCATATTTTACAGATGAGGAGACTGAGGTTCTAAGTGGTGACGTGACCTTTCCAAGTGTACACAGCTAGCAAGTGTCTGAGTGATTACTAGAGTCTGAATTTGCCCAATGCTGGAGTCTGTGACTGAATATTTTCAAACTAGAGACTTGAGTTATATATTCTAGTTCACTTAAGCCCAAATGACTTAGCAAAGCTCTGTTAGTTAACAGAGTAGGGGAAAGCTGTTAGTTAGTAATGAAAACAGCAACAACTGTCATTTGTTGGGCACCTTCTATGTGTCAGGAATGTTTCTAGGCACCTCATATCACTTATTTCATTTAAGCCACAAAACAACCTCAGGATAGTTGTCCACCTTTATAGATGAGGACACTGAGACTTAGAGAGGTTGCCTAGCACCCTTTCATGGAGCAGTTCAGGGGCTATCAGGTCCCACACAGGAAGATTAAACTGTGGATCCAAGCTGTGAGTAAGCAGGATGTAAATCATAGAATCTCAGAGCCTCAAGAGATAGTCAAGGTGACCCAGTCTAACTTCTATTTTACACGTGGGCAAACTTAGAACCTCCTGCTCTAGTTAGTTGTAAACCCAAGTCTAGAATACAGGTTCAATTCAATTAATCGATTTTGATTTGAGTGCCTATTATGTGCCACACATGGCTAGGTCTCCTATCTCCCAGACTCAGGACACTTTCTGTCAGACCCTGTGTAGAAGGCAGGACCTGGGGCCCGAGGTCACGAAGCTCACCTCCAGTTCTGCAGGAGACAGCCCTGCAGCCTGAAGAGTAAAGAGAACAGGCGATGACAGCGGTTGAAGAGGGAATTGTGTCCACTCATTCAGAAGGCAGGACACGTCAGGTGTGGCCAAGAAGGCTGCGTGGCCAAGACGTGGGACTGACCACAGTCAGTGAGAAAAATTTTCAGCCTGCCGTGAAGCCAGAGGGGAGGGATCAGAGCTGGAGCATCAGGTATAACTTGATCCTAAATGTGAATGTCAAAAATACCATTCTGATTTACTTTTGGAGTGAATTGCCCTGCAGGAAATGAAGTCCAAGCCTTTTGACTAGAACCTCACTGAATGATTTATTTTAATACAGCTAATAAGAATAATGGGAACTATCTGTTTCTATAACAACAAAGGGCCACATTCATCAAGTTCATGACTCGTGAACTGCTGGGGGATTTACGAAGATAAGAGCCGCTGCACTGTGCACAAGGCAGGCACAGGGCTGGGCTTCAAGGCCAGGAGACCTTCTCTGTCTCTCCAAGCCGAAAACATGGACTCCCAAAGCACTTTATTTTTGAGACTCTTTTGGCTCTAAATATTTGCACATAATTGAAGAAACATATGTTGAATAAAAAAATGCATGACTGAGAGAAGTGAGCTCAATGCGTTGACTATCCATGGTTATATAACCAAGTAGCAGCAGTCTTAGACTTGAAGCCTCCATCCAATTTCTGTTGCATTCTCGCCACTTGCTTCTTTGATCATCTTTTGACACTGTGAAAAAGGATGGTAACATGGTGTCTTCCTTTGCTTCAGAATAAGAAAGTCAGCAAAGTGTCCAGCAATCTCTGAAGAAGCAAATACAGAGTCTGCGTCTGGAAAGGCGGGCGTTCTCTCAGCAGCACAGTCTAAAACTGGGCCAGGTTGCAGAATGACATTTCTAAAATTCTCTAATTTAATACTGGAAATGTACCTTCCATGTGCAGAATTGCAGTAATAATTCTATTTGCTGGGCTACATGAGAGGAGAGCTTGAATGGCCTGCCTTATTTGGTCAGATAAATGGATAAGAAGATTCTAGCCAGTCTCCTCTGACTGTGTCCACAAGCGTATTTGATGCATTAGTGAAAAATAAGACAATCTTGATAATAAAGGCAGCCAGGCTGAGACATGACTGATTCAGTGATTTAGAATCTCAGTTTTTAATGGAAATATAGCTATGTGACTGCTTGGATCAATATGGCTATTGGATCAACTGTATATGAATCAACCATTAACAATCACCATAGAAAAAAAAGATTATGCCCACTCAGTCAACTCTGTTGACTGAACTGTGCTATGGGGCTGGGGACGGATGAGGCTGGACAGAAATATGAGGAGTAAAAGAAAAAGGCGTCTCTAATTGGGAGAGCCACCTGTCAGCGGGAGGAGGGCAGGGTTGGTGCAGGTCAGGACTCTGGGCCTGAAAATGCAGGGCACGCTTTTTTTTTTAACTGAGGTAACATTGCCTTATAAGATTATATAAGTTCCATGTGTGTAACATTATAACTTGACTTTTGTACACACTATAGCATGCTCACACCAAAAATCTAGTTTCCACGCATCACCGTACAATTGACCCTCTTTACCCATTTTGCCCTCCCCCCACCTCCTTCCCTGCTGGAAACTGCTAATCTATTCTGTATATCTATGTGGTTTTTGTTTTGTTTGTTCATTAATTCTGTGTTTTTTAATATTCCATATATGAGTGAAATTTTATGGTATTTGTCTTTCTCTATCTGACTTATTTCACTCAGCATACTACCCTCAAGGTCTACCCATGTTGTCACAAATTGCAAGATATCATCTTTTTTTGTGGCTGAGTAGTATTCCACTGTATGTATATCTATCTACCACATCTTCTTTATCCACTCATCCATCACTGGGCTCTTAGGTTGCTTCTAAGTCTTGGCTATTGTGAATAATGCCACAAGGAACATAGGGGTGCATTTATCTTTTCAAATTAGTGTTTTCTTGTCCTTCAGATAAATACCTAGAAGTGGGATAGCTGAATCATACGGGTAGTTCTATTCTGAATTTCTCGAGGATCCACCATACTGTTTTCCATAGTGGCTGCACCAATTTACATTCCTTCCAACAGTGTATGAGGCTTTGTTTTTTTTGGGCAGGGCACATTCTTGAATTAAAGCCAGTATCGGGTATGATCATTTCCTCTTTTCTAGTCAAACTCGTCGGGTTGTGTCTAAGCCATGTCCCTGGTAGGCAAACAGAAACTTTTCAAATAGTACATGATTCCTGCCCTTTATATACATTTTCCCCTCATAAAACTTTCATTTGGCAGCCAGTACTACCTAATTACTTTGACTATCAGCGCACCAGCCTCAAATACATTTCCAATGTCCAATGTCATGAACTGAAAAGGGGCTTATCACACAAGGGAAAATTCTGTTGCTTACCAATGAGGAGGCACCTTGAGCACCAACAGTAAGTGTATATTTAGTGTAAATGATCAACTTGAATCTCCACCCCTCCCTGTTCCAGCCCTGATAGGAAGAAGATTGCTACGACCACAGAGTGCTACACTCTCAGTCTCCCCAGCAATTTTGCAGGGTGTGGAAGGTGAGTTTCGCCACTTTGCTTTGCACACGGCTCTGCATTTAGCATTCTCTGGGGACACCAAGACCTTGTCAGGCAGGAGACAATCACCTGGGCAACTGAAAGTAAATGCACATTTTCCAAGTGTGTCCCACATGTAATTAGTCAAAATTGGTAGAGAAGGGAGTGGGGGCAGGACCGCTGTAGGTCCAGCAAGCACTCCAGGGGGTTCTGAACTACAGCCAGAATGGGAAGCCAGATTCCTAGGTTGAATTCTGGAGGAAAAACAGGATTTTGTAGGTCATAAGACAGAATTTTCCCCCTGAATAATAATTGCTGAGACACTCTAGGAATGTTTATAAAACCATTGTCATAATGCCCCATGTTATGTCCCATGTTATGTATGTTACTGCCCTCAGTTTGAATTGTAATCTTTTTGGAGAAAGTTCTGGATCCTAAGTCAGGACTTCTTGAACACCTACCATGTGCCACGCCCTTTGGGCAACACAGTGGGTTAAACATGTTTTTCCTGTTTACAGGAAGCTACACTGAGTCTAGACTGTGGAAAATAAGACTCTCATATGTGAATAATCAGATGATAATCTGGAGACTGAAAGAGCCAGAGGTACTGAAGGGACGATCCTGGCACATCTTGGTCCAAGTGCTGCTGGTAACTGTCCTCCTAGGAGGCCAGGGAGGGCCGTTTCCCAGTGTCCTGCAGCTTCTCTTTCTCATGATTGATGAAATGCCTGAGGGTGCAGTGCATGTGCCTGGGTCCCGCTGCCCCAATAGTGTCAGAACTGAAAAGGATGGAAGCACTTCCCAGTCTCTTTGGGAAGAAGGGCTGGAATATCCAATAAGGCTGCCAACCTGTGGGGTAAGTACTCAACAGGACCATGAGTTTAAAGAAGTGAGGGAGATGGTGATAGTGAAAATAAAAGAGAAAGAAATAAGAGGAGCCACGAATTCTGTTTTGCAGGTACGTTGGAAACACAGCATGTGCTATTTGCCCAGCTGTGCATTCTGAGCCTAATATCCGGTGCTCTGCTCTCCACCCCTGGATTGAGCCATCAGACTGCTGGTTTTCTTACTTATGCGTGCTCTATCACAAGGCCAGAGTTCTGCTGCTGTGGGTTTGAAGCTATAGGGAATAGTTGCAGGTAGGAGGCTCCAAACCGCAGAAAATGTTAAGAGCAGCTGAACCAAGCTGCATCGACTGAGATCACAGTGAATCAGGAGCAGCCAAGGCCCACGGGCAAAGGGTGTGCTGTGAAACAAGGTCGTTTATGTCCTTACACAATGAGGGCTGGGGGGGAAAACAGATGGGGTTCTGGTAGCAAAGTCCCTTTAAAGGTCTGAAGACTTTTTTTTTTTAAAGATTTTATTTTTCCTTTTTCTCCCCAAAGCCCCCCAGTACACAGCTGTATATTTTAGTTGTGGGTCCCTCTAGTTGTGGCATGGGGAACGCCATCTCATCGTGGCCTGGCGGGTGGTGCCATGTCCGTGCCCAGGATCCAAACCAGCGAAACCCTGGACCGCCGAAGCGGAGTGGGCGAACTTAACCACTGGGCCACAGCGCCAGCCCCAGGTCTGAAGACTTCTAAAAACATACTGCAGAGTGGTGGTTGTTTCTCTTCTAATGAAGAAGCAAAGTATGTTTTCCTTTCAAACAACTAGGAAAAAGTATTTATGTCTATCTTGAAACCAGAGTCCAAAGTTTAATTCTGAAAGTAATGAAGATCCAGAACTGAAATCGTTTTCTTAGGCAAAAAAAGAACATGGTAGTAGGTAATAGCATTGCTAATGTGATGTGTACTACCCGCAGAACTGTCCATCTAGATTTTAGCGTGTAAATACATGACAAAAATTGTTAATTCATATAAACTCATGTGAAAAAGGAAATTGTCCTGAGCTTAAATGACAACAAAATATGGTATCTAGTAAAAAGAGGGGGGGTATGTGGATTTCTGATTTCTAAAAAGCCAAAGATCAAATCTCCTTGACACAGGGGCTGGCCCTGTGGCCCTGTGGTTAAGTTCGTGCGCTCTGCTTCGACAGCCCAGGGTTTCGAGGTTGAGATCCTGGGCATGGACATGGCACTGCTCATCGGGCCATGCTGAGGTGGTGTCCCACATAGCACAACCAGAGGACCTACAACTAGAATCTACAACTATGCCCTGGGGGGCTTTGGGGAGGAGAAGGAGAAGAAGAAGAAAAAGAAGATTGGGAACAGATGTTAGCTCAGGTGCCAGTCTTTAAAAACAAAATTTCCTTGACCCAGTAACCTGTGACATTTTAACCAAAAAGCAAATGGCTTCTAAAGGATCTGCCAGCCAGCCCAGCACTGAGGGTCAGACGGTTTTCTATGCTCACGAGTGTCAGTCCCAGTGGCAGCTCCCCAGCGGTGCTCAGCGTGGTGGAGGAACGCAGTGCAAGTGTTATTATCACAGCAACAGAAAGGTCTGAGCTCTTCCAGCAAGGGGATCCAACGCACAACAGGAAGGAAATACATTTTCAGAGAGCTGAGAATACAAAAGAATGTAGTTATAGATGTGGATATGACTAAGAAGAGTTAGGAAAAACAAAATATATGCCCCACCCCCTAAAACCTAAAACTCTAGTGCAAGGATTGTCCTGAGACTTCAGGCATACCCAGAGATCGAAGCAGGGCAGCCTGGTCCTTTCTCTCAGCAGGGGATGCTCTGTAATCCCCGCTCGAGATCCATGGGGCGCCAGGTGGTTTGTGAGCGCCCCCTCAGGTCGCTCTGCTGGCCTACCTCCCACCTCTGGAAAGACCCTTTCTACCACTTAGCATCGACTTCACTACTTGCAAAGTCAGATTGAAGACCAATCTAATAGTACTATAAAATTTCATTTCACTCTTTGTTTTAAATTAGAGGCCTCTGAATTCTTTCCATTGGGGATTAATATGGTTAAACTGGCAATCTTATGTGCAGGAGAAGAACTAACCAAAGTAAAATTTCCCACTAAGGTGATGTTTCCAGGTGAAATTTGCTTCTTGATGACCAACTCTACCCTCAGGCTTTCAGACCCTTGTTTTCATCCCCTAATTCGCTGAGCAGGAATGCCTTTTCTTTAGAATGTGTTTAATCAAGCTGACTGTCATAACCACAAGTGTTCGAAGTTTTCTTAACAAAACTTGCTCTTGGACCCCGACACGGTGACCGGCACAGCGGCAGCTGCAGGGTCATCACAGCGCTCGGCCGCAGCGTCCACCTTAGCACTTCCCCATACTAATCAGGGTCTCCAGTGAACTAACTCCCCACCCTGGAATATCTACTATGATTATTACAGCTCTACCACAACATCGAAAATTGAAGGTAGTTTTGGATAATACTCTGTGAAAAAAGTTACAATCTTAATATTTGTCTAAAATAATTCCTCATGCAACCTCAAGGGTAGGGAGTAGGAAATCAAACCATAACGGATTAGATTATGAGGGTATTCCTCCAGGGTTAAGGTACTCATTCACAGTTCAACAGCTTATTTTTTCCTCACAATCCTGTGGGCTGCCTGGGCGATTCTTCTGCTGATCTCGCCTGGTGTCATTCATGTGGCTGCACCCACGTGGCAGACTGGCTGGCAGCTGGGCTCGGCTGGGCCTGGCAGCCATGGAACGTTGATCTCCCCACACAGCCACCTTGGGCTTTCTTACAGGGCGCTGGTCTCAAGGCAGCCTTCTCAGGGGAGCATTCCAAGAGTGTGAAAGCAGAGCTATGAAAGCTTTTAAACAGAAGCTACAAGACCTATGTCGCTTCCATCATATTTTATTGGTCAAAGCAAGTCAGGAAGCCAGTCCAGATTCAAGAGGAGAGAAAACAGATTCTACTTCTTGAGGAGAGAAGTGGCAAAGTCACATTGCGAAAAGGTTGTGGGATGGGAGACATCGATGCAGCCTTTTTGGAAACCATCTATTATGCTCCACTTCCTAACAAAACAATTCACATTCCTCCCACATGCAAAATACGCTAATCACCACCTCCCTCTGTGGTTCATCCTGTTACCTCGTCTGTTCCCAATCCCGGATCTAGTCCTCCGAGTCAGGTGCAAATGTGGAGGGATGAATTCCCATGCCCTTGTGTGCAGCTGCTCGGGCATGCTTCTCTCCATCTGGAAACTTGTGAACTAAGAAGACGAGTTTTCTGCTCCCCATACACCCAACATGCGATGATGACACAAGGACAGGAAAGCTGAAATAGGCAAGTGATTATAGACTGTGCACCACGGGGGCCCTAAAGGGAGCAGAGATAAGCATGGAAAATGTGGGGAAGTTCTGCGCTCAGAAGATGGATTAGGAGCCCGCGCAGTCGTCCGGCGAGGGATAATCGTGAAACTGCCACCTTTTCCTGAGCATTTACTAGACCCAGAGGCTGCTCTGAGCACTCCCCACACACTTTCTCATTTAACCTTCATCGCTAACTTGAGAAGAAAGGGGCCTATTCAGCAATTTAACAAAACCCAGGCTAAGACACGACAGGTGAGATAACTCACCTAAGCTCCATGGCCAAAGTGTTTGGAGGCGGGAAAGTTGAAGGTAGCTTTGAACTTTCTAACTTGGATATTAACTAGGAAAAGGAAAGCAGAACAAGTCATAGGAGGTGGAAAAGTTGAATTAATCTCTGGACACGTGGATTTTGAGGTGCCTGCAGGATGTCTACGGGGAAGGGCTGAGGGCTGGAAATATAGACTGAGACCTGACTGGCTTCATGAGATCCTAATGCTAGTTTTCCTAGGGAGATTGAGAAGCAGTTTGAGGATGAAACCAGCAAAACCTATCACTTGCTCAATTCTAGCTTGTCTTGATTGAAAGTAGCTTGTCTGAGGCTGGCATTTCCAATACATCATGCTGTGGACCATGGGCGGATGGCACGGTTCAGGGCTGGCTCTTCTGCCGATTGTGACACAACAATCCTTATCACAGTTCCTGTGAACTTGCACAAGAAAGCTCCATTTCTAGGGAGAGATATGGATTTAGAACATTCTTTTCTCTATGTTAGCGAGAGTATCCTTTGCACAGTTTTGCATTTGAGGAAAGTTGCATTTTGGGTCAATGGACAGTCTCATTTCCTTGTAGAAGACAGTTCTTGTGTTTTCATATACCATTGGTTTATTTGTAAATCAATTGAAATTGAAAACATATAAATGTATCAACTGCTGAGACGTTGCCTAATTATAAATTTAATAAGAACAATAGACTCGAAGAGTTGAAAATCAGGGCCATTGCAGTACGTAGATCTTTCTTCCCTCAGGGGGAATTGTCTGCACATCCTAGAGTGCCTCATGTGGAGGGAGACGTAAAGAGCAGTGCGTAGTGTTTCAATTTGATTTAGAATCACCCTTTAAAAAAATAACAAAAATAACTGTTTTCACTGTTAGGTCCATTTTAATATTTAGCTGGTTACCAGGTTATATAACCCTTTGGTGTTGGGTAGGCGAGAACACAGATGGTACAGTAACCATAGCAACCACACTTAGGCTTGTTTTCTGCCTGTCAGCTTTTCTCAACATCATATTCCTCTAAAGCAGAGCCTCGCTCCCTCTCTCTCTCTCTTTCTCCCCCCTATTTCTTCCTCCTTTTCCTCTCTCTCCTTGCACTCTCCTCCTCTGACCACTCTCTCTCAGCAGACTGAAAAAGAACAAAGAAGTTTCATACAAACTCCTCTTGGTTTTTCAATCTCAAAATTATTCAAACCTTAAATATGAGTCTGCATTATACTGTTTCCATCATAAAACTGCATTTCTGACTTGTTTCTCTTTTACCTAAATAGGAGATATAGAAAGAAAAGCAACCGTGACCAAAAGTTACCAAAATGAGAACACTTTTCTTACCCTTTGAGTTCAGGCAAGATCGTGTGCACTTAAGGACTCTTGGAGACAGATTCTGAGACTTCTTTAGGGAAATCTAACTTCCAACCACCCTCACATTAAAAGTCTTGCTTGACTCTCGATCCCAAAGGCCTCATACTCAGGCACATTAATTAAAAATCTGGAGGGGCTGGCCCAGTGGCATAGTGGTTAAGTTCATGCACTCTGCTTGGGGAGCCCAGGGTTCCCTGGTTCAGATCCCAGGTGTGCACCTACACACCACTCATCAAGCCATGCTGTGGCGGTGTCCCACATACAAAACAGAGGAAGATGGGCACATATGTTAGCTCAAGGCCAATCTTCTTCAGCAAAAAAGAGGAGGATTGGCGGTGGATGTTAGCTCAGAGCTAATCTTCCTCAAAAAAAAGGAAAAAAATTCTGGAGCCTGTATTCCAATTTGCCCCTCTGTAACACTGGTAAGCAGGATCACTGATAAGTACACTGTGAGTTTCTGCACCTCAAAAATCAGATCTTCTGTAGGAGCACTTCAGGGCCCTGTTCTCCCCGAACCTTATCTTGGGAAGCCAGGGGGCAACTTGCTTGAACTATACTCAGTCAGTCGTCTGTTTGCAAAAGCGGTTGGATAAAACACCACTAAAGCCCATCCTACAGATGACACCTCTGGTGCTTTGGTCACCATGGTAACGGGCACTTGAGTTTTTCGGGAACTGAGAGTCGGCTCCTTGTCCAATTCTGGCTGGTTAAGACCACTGACTCACCAAGTAGGTGGGGATGACCAACAGGTGGCCCTTTGATGTCGTGGAGCTGAACACTCCACCCTCAGATCATGGTAATGCAGCCATTTTGTGAACATGCGTCCTGTGAAGAGCCATAAAGCTTGACTACGCTTGTGCAGATGATCAATTCCCTCACTCCTCCTGGCCTCAATCTTCTATCCCCACACTTCCGACCACCCCGCCCCCTTACCCCATAAGTATCCCTAGTCTCCATTTTTGGGGAGGAAGATTTAAGATTGTTTCTTCTATCTCCTCACTTGGCTGCATTGTGAATAAACCCTTTCTCTGCTGCAAACTCATCTGGGTAGAAACTGTATTTTATCTCTTTTTTGTTTTTGGGTGTGTGTGGCTTTTTTTTCTGAAGAAGATTTGCCCTGAGCTAAAATCTGTTGCCAATCCTCCTCCTTTTTTTTTTGGCTTGAGGAAGATTCATCCTCAGCTAGTATCTGTGCCAATCTTCCTCTATTTTGTACATGGGTCACTGCCACAGCATGGACACCAAAGAGTGGTGTAGGTCCACACCCAGAAACTGAACCTGAGCTGCCAAAGTGGAGCACACCACTAGGCCACAGGCCAGCCCCTCTTTTTGATTTTTAAATGTCACCCCCTCAGGGAGGCTTTCCTGAACCTTGATTATTCTCTTAGTCCTTGTACACTTTTTCACTTGTGATTTATACTTATTTGTTTGATTATTTTTTTTACTGTCTCTCTCTCCCAGTAGACTCTAAGCTCTATGAGGGCAGAAACCATTTTTGAAATTGTACTCCCTATGTTGTATAGGATTTGGCTCATTTGTAAGCATTAAATGAATACTTTTCAAACAAATCAATGGATGTTTCCTTTTTCATAAACTCCTTTTAGATTTGGTTTGTAAAACAAAACAAAACCTGTTTTTCTAATTTGAACTGTTGGTATGGTTTCTGTTTCCCTTTTTACCTTGGCTGCTAGGAAGCCCAAGTTAGTGTTTAATCAGTATAGCTGTATTTGCTACTGGAGCTAAGGATATTTGTTTCTTTGGCATGGCTTTTATTTTCTTTTACTATTGTAGTTGTATTATATTTATGTTTTTTATTTTAAGCCACCTCAAATACTTCTTGAAAGCAAGAACCATATAACAATAAGGAATAAAGTAAATATAAGATCCTTCATAATAAAATGATTTTTCAAGTATCTCCTGGAGAGAGTGATGTGTACTAGGAATGGTTAGCTCTATTAAATATTGACATGAACAGTAACCAAAGAAACTTTAAATAGTAAAAAATTGAAAAAGCCTTTTTACTCTTCAGCTATGTTACAGGGTACTGAGTGAGAATAAGTAAACATTACATATAAAACTGATCATATTTATCAGCAAAATAGTTAAGCTCTTAAAGGGTGAAATCCTCTTAAATTGCTAAAGCATTACTTTACTACTGTACACATATATATACAGATTTTCTTGCAGACCGACTTAAAACTCCTCCTCTCTGTGGCCTAAAGAGTTCCCTGCTGCCTTTTTATAGGGAAGAAAAACCTGTCTAAAAATCCTGACTCACCAGCTTCACCACCTTAGGTAAACGGTGTTGCCGTGTGATCCTGGTTTGCCGACTCAGGGCGTGAAATCCTTCAACTGACACTGAGCTTTGTCTACAGCGGCTGGAGGGGGAGGAGAGGGAGCTTCATGAGGGACTCCTGAGACCCTTTGAAGTATCTGTGGCCAGAAGAGGAAGCTGTGGTGAGGGAGTAAATCAATAGCATCGATGTCACCTGGGAAGGTGGTGCGGCAAGTGAGACTTTATTAATAGAAAGGACAGCTGGGAAAGAGTCCCACTTAGAAAACAAATGATCAGTGGCAAGAGCAGCTGGGGGCCCACTTCAGAAGACGGGAGGAAGAACTTTTCCCACAGTGAGCAGACAGACAGCATCTCCTTCTGCGCCTGAGGGCACAGGACAAAGTCAGGAGGATCTGCTTGGTTTTCTCCCTGGCCCCAGCGAGTGGATGGAGAGTGGAGGAGTGGTTCACTCAGATAACGCATTTCTGAGCCAGCTCAAGAATGGATGAGCCACTGGCTTCCCCTGTCCCTGGTCCTGATTCTCTGGGGCAGGGGGATGTAGCCAGGGGCCAAACGAAGAGGGGTCCACCTTCTGCCTACTGCTGCTGGCCCCCCTCCATAGCAAGGAACAGAGAGGCCTTCGCTCCAGAGTCCCATCTTGCGCCTGGGAAAACCCACAATCATCAAGCCCCCATTTTTTTCTACCCTCATTTTATTTCTTTCTATGATTCCAGGCTCCTGCTGGGCTGATAATAGGATTCATTTCTGTAGGAGTTTGAGGGAGTTCGGTAATCACTCGAGTATTCCCTGTGGGTTCTGAATCAATTGAAAACAAAAACCCCAGTGTGGAGAGAGTATTTGTTTTGTGGTGGCAGTTGTTGCTTTTGGCTGTTCCCCTTTCCTAATAGCACCGACTTCCTTTTACAGAATGTACTCTTCCCCGCTGTGGGCAGTTTCCCCACGACAACAGATACGGTGCCTGTCTCCAGCCAACTGAATCCATTCCACAGTTGATGAGCACTTGGGTTGTACCCATGTTTTACTGTTATGACAGACGCTGCTGAAAACATTATTACACACGTCTCCGGGTGTTTATGTGCAAGACAGGGAATTTGCTAGGTCATGGGGTAAGTACAAGTTTTCCACTGTGGTGTTTATAATTTGCACTCCCATAAGCAGTGGATGAGAGTTCTCATTGTTCTGTGATCATGCTAACACTTGGCACTTTCCAAAATTTGAATTTTCCCTTGTTTTTAATAAAACGCTATAACTGTATATATATGTTTTTATAACAACTGCACTGAGATATAACTCACATACCTTACAATTCAGTCATTTAAAGTTTAAAAGTCTGTTCTTTTTAGTTTATTCACAGAGTTGTACAACCATCACCACAAGCAATTTTAGAACATTTTCATCACCCCCAAAAGAAATGCATTAGCGGTCATTTCTGGTTTCCCTCCAAGTCCCTCAGCCCTGGTAACATTTTGTCTATAGATTTTCCTTCTCTGAACATTTCCTATAAATGGCATCTATAACATGTGGCTCTTTGTGGTGATTTCTTCCACTTAGCATAACGTTTTTAAGGTTCATCCATGTTGTAGCAGGTACCAGTATCGGTACTTCATTCCCTATTATTGGCAAATAATAGCCCACTGTATGGATATACAATATTTTTTTTATCCATTCATCAGTTGAATGTTGTAGAGAAATACAACTTATGGTTGTTTCCACTTTTTATTATTTGTGTCCAAATTGTTGTGTAGGTACATGTGTTCATTTCTCTTGGGTATCCATGTAGGAGCGGAATTGCTGGGTCATGTAGAAACTCTATGATTAACCTTTTGAGGAACTGCCAGCCTATTTTACCTAGTGGCTGCACCATTTTACATTCTCACCAGAGTGTATGAGGGTTCCAGTCTCTCCCTGTCTTCACCAACTTGTTGTCTTCTTTTGGTTACAGTCATTCCAGTGGACGTGAAGTGGTATCTCAGTTTGGTTTTGATATTCATTTCTCTGATAGTTAGCGATGTTGAGCATCTTTTCATGTGATTATGGGCCATTTGTATATATAGCTTCTTTGGAGAAATGTCTATTCAGATCCTTTGCCTGTTTTTAAAATCAGTTTAACTGCCTTTTTATTATTGAGTAGTAAGAGTTCATTATATATTCTACATTCAAGTCTCTTAGATATAAAAGTAGCAAAGTTTTCTACCATTTGGTGGGTTGTCTTTTCACTTTCTTGATGTCCTATGAAGCACAAAAGTTTTCAATTTTGATGATTCCACTTTATTTTTTTTCCATTGTTGCTTGTGCTTTTTGTGTCATATCTAAAAAACCACTGACTAGTTCCCGGTCATGAAGACTTATGTCTATGCTTTCTTCTAAGAGTTTTATAGTTTTAGCTCTCACATTTAGATTGACCCATTTTGAGTTAAATTTTGTATATGGCATAGGCTATGGGTCCAATTTCGTTATTCTGCATGTGGATATTTTGCATGTGCAGTTGTTCCAGCACCATTTCTTGAAAAAACTATTCTTTCCACATTGAATTGCCTTGGCACCCTTGTTGAAAATCAATTGACCCTAAATATGAGAGTTTGCTTCTGGACTCTCAATTCTATTCCAATGATCCCTATGTCTTTTCCTATGCCAGTACCGCGTAGTCTTAATTACTGTAGCATTGTAGCAAATTTCATAATTGGGAAGTGTGAGCCCTCCGACTCTGTTCTTTTTCAAGATTGTTTTGGATATTCTGGGTTCCTTGAATTTCCAGATGAATTTTACGTGCAGCTTGTCAATTTCTGCAAAGCAGCCAGCTATACTGTTAGTAGGGATTTCATGGAATCTGTAGATCCATTTGAAGAGTACTGCCATCGTTACAATATTAGGTCTTTCAGTTTGTGAACACAGAATGTCTTTCCATTTATTTTAGGTTTTCTTTAATTTCTTCAACAATGTGCTGTAATTTTCAGAGTATAAGTTTTGTACTTCTGTTAAATTTATTCTTAAGTATTTTATGATTTTTGATGCTAGTATAAATGGAATTAAAAAAATTCATTTGTGGCTTGTTCATTGCTACTGTATAGAAGTACAATTGATTTTTGTATACAAACATTGTATCCTGCAACCTAGCTGAACTCATTTTTTAGTTCTAATAGTTTTTAACAGAATTCTTAGGATTTTCTACATTCAAGAAGGATTATGTCTTCTGAAAATAGAGATAGTTTTATTTCTTCCTTTCGAATCTAAATGCCTTCTTTTTTATTTTTCTTTTCTAATTGCCCTGGCTGAAATGGCCAGTACAATGTTGAATAGAAATGGCAAGAGCAGGCATCCTTTTCTTGTTCCTGATCTTAAGGGGAAACACCAGTCTTTCATTATTAAGTATGATGGAAGCCGTAAGTTTTTCACAGATACGCTTGATCAGATTGAGGAATTTCTCTCTATTTCCAGTTTATTACGTGCTTTTGTGATGAAGGGTGTTGAATTTTGTCAAATACTGTTTCTGCCTGTTGAGATGATCATATGGTTTTTGTCTTTTATTTTATTGTATGATATATTACATTAATTGATTTCAGATGTTAAGTTTGAGCACTGTAAAATATGTTCACAGGCCGTTTGTGTTCTGCGAAATACTGTTCACAGCGTTTTCTCTTCTCTACTGGTTTGCTTGTCTTTTTCTTACTGATTTGTAATAATTTTTACATAGGCTAAATATCTTGAGGAGTTATATGTGTATCAGTTATATGTGTAGCAAATATTTTCTCCAAATTTGTGGTTTGTCTTTTCTCTCTCTTTATGAGGTGTTTTGATGAACAGTAGATTTTTAACCTTAATGTTATGAAATTTAAAAGTGTTTACTCTGTGGTTGGTACTTCTGGAGACCTGTATAAGAAATCCTTTTCTTCCGGAGGTAAGTATAGTCTCCTAGATTGTCTTGCCATTCATAGTTAGGTCTCTACTCCACCGGGGATTGATTTTTCTCAGGGTGTGAGGTAAGGTCAGATGTTGTATTTTCCCATGTGGATCCAATTGTTTTGGACGCAATTAAAGCAGCTCCTCAGATTTACTCAGACTCATCTTGCCCAGGGTCCTCAGCTGCTTGTCCTTGGGGAGTTCCTTATGATTCCATGGCTGCTGCAGCTGCTGCCTCATCTACCTGCACTGCCAGCTGCCTTGACCTTCCCCGTAGAGAGCGCAGCCCCAGCACGGTGCCCATCATGCCTGCTACTGTGAGAGCACCAGTGGATCAGGCACCTGGGTCCAGCCTAGTCCTCCTGCCCTGCCCACTCAATACAAAATCCAACACTATAAGGCATGAGATCTTGGCTTTAGTGTTCTAGAGGTGGTCCAAAGGGATCAAGAGATACAGCCTGAAAATGTAGTGGGGTTAATGTGTTCTGAGACAAACTTTGACCAATGAAGAAAAGAAGACCAGTCTAGAACCAGCAGATCAACTCTCCTCCCAAACTCCTCTGATAGACCACTGTGAAGCATGATGCTTCTCAACAGCCTTTCTTAAAATGTCCAGCATGACTGAGCAGAGAGCAGCCAGATGTGTCTCTTTGTGAAGCTGTGGCTAGCTCAGAAATTATTTGCTTCCCCTCCTTCCCAGCATCTTTTCTGTGACTTTTTGCTGCCCTGGGATTAGATCTCCCACTAGAGTAATAGCCCTTAAGCTCAGCGCCAGGTTCCGGTTTCTGGAAAACCAAGGCTAAGATACTTACCTTAGTCTGTCGTTTACTCACTTACCTGCAGTGCTTATTAGACGTGTTCTAAGTTAATATTGCATGCGACTGTTTCAAAAGTGTATGTTTTGTTCCATTGATCTATTTGTGTAGCTTTGCCAATACCACTCACTCTTTATTATTATAGTTTTATCATATATCCCCCAAATTTATTCACCTTCAGGTGATTTGTGGTTATAATATATTATGCATTAAATACGCACCAGGGCTCAGTTCATCAATACTTCGCCAAGACTTTGCAGCTATGTTCATGAGCAGGAGAGTTTGCGGGAAGCTGGGAGAATATGTTCCTTAGACATTTGATAGGAATCATCTGTAAACTTTATGGGGCTAGGCATTTTTTTCTGGGAAAATATGTAAATTGCTGTTTCAATTTCTTTAATGGTTAGAGATTATTTATTCTATGGTTATACTTGAGTCAGTTATGGTAAGTTATATTTTTCAGTTTTGATAAACTTTATTTGTCAAGTTTATTGACAGAAAGTTCGTAATTTCCTTTTATTTTCTGTTCAATATCTGTAGAATTTGGTATTGTTTGCTTTTTCATTAATTATGCTTACTTTGAATCCTCTCCTTTTTTCTGGATGAAACTTCCTAGGAGTTTTGCAATTTTATTAGCATTTTCAAAGAACCCACTTTTGACATTCTCATTCCCATCTATTGTATTTTTTCTATTTCATTAATATCTTCTCTCTCTCTCTCTCTCTCCTTTTTTTTGGCTTAAACGACAGAAATGTATTTATTACAGTTCTGGAGACTGGGAAATCCATGATCAAGGTGCCAGCAGATTTGGTGGGTCCACTGCTGGTGAGGGCCCGTTTCCTGGTTCATAGATGGCTGTCCTCCAGCTGGGTCCTCACATGGCAGAAGTGAGAGAGCTCTCTGGGATCTCTTTTATTTTATTTTATTATTTGTTTGTTTGTTTATTTACTTTTTTATTTTATTGAGGTAACATTGGTTTATAACGTTACATAAATTTCAGGTGTACATCATATTTCAGTTTCTGTGTAGAGTACGTCATGTTCACCACCCAAAGACCAATTACCATCTGTCACCATAAACACGTACCCTGTTACCCCTTTTGCCCTCTCCTCCTCCCTCTTTGGTAACCACCAATCTAATCTCTGTATCTACATGTTTGTTTGTTTGTTGTTGTTGTTGTTGTTTTTATCTTCCCCTTATGAGTGAAATTGTGAAATCATACGGTATTCAACTTTCTCTGTATGACTTATTTCGCTTAGCATAATACGCTCAAGGTCCATCCATGTTGTCAAAAATAGCAAGATTTCGTCTTTTTTCATGGCTGAGGAGTATTCCATTTGTATATATACCACATCTTCTTTATGCATTCATCCCTTGATGGTCACTTAGGTTGC